GAACGTTACATTGAGCCGTAGCTCACTGTATTAAAAAAAAAAAAAAAAAAAGGCACAGTACATTCTCTTTTGATGTCCAGTCTTGATTTAAAGACTTCAAGTTAATAGAAAACCTGCTGTGTTCTGTAGTTATGACTGTTTCAATGATTAATTACCCTCACAGCAAAAGATATGTTCTAGTTTGCATTTTTCTAGCTCCTTTTCCCAGCAGCTGAATCTACATAACTTCTTAGAACCAAATGCTTATCTGACATGTAAGCCAGAGACCCAAAGTTAGGATTGTGCTCAGAAACAAACCAGCTATTTGCTATTGAAGAGACAGTATCTTCAAAATCTCAGCTTTTTGATACAGTGATTTGGGAGTTTTTACATATGAAAATGTTGCGAGATTGCTCTTTCCGGGACACAGTAAAAACTTGTGGTGCCTCGCTCCTGCCCCGTGGCATTCTCCTTCCTCAGGAAGGATGTGTATCTGTTGTTCCTGTGGCTTCTGCTGTCCAGTTAGAAAGGCGCCGCGAGCGTGGCAGCGCTGAGCCAGGCAGGTGGCCTGATCCTGCAGAAGAAGCAACGGCCCAGCGTCTTGCAGAAGACCCTTGCAGCGTCCTGAGTTTCAGACATGAAGAGGTTCTTGCCTCTGTCTGTGAGGTTTTGCTTGGGCAAACTGCTCTGGAGGAGCATTTCTGAACCACGTGGTTGATGTGAATTCCAGCGGGGAGGTGACACCAGCTGGGGTAATCCTTGGAGTGCCATTTGGCTAAATTTGTGCTGTGAATTAAAAAGACAAAAAAGATTGCAGCTTAAACCGCAAAGTTTGAACGAAGAGATTTAACTTCTTCATTTTATCGGGGTCTTTTTATTGTTCTACTAACCTTGGTGGCATGGAGCCAGAAGATTAACTACTGCCAGGAAAAAAAAAAAAACAAATGAAAACAATAATGCAATCCTTATTATTACCACTAAGCTTTGCAGTGGGTGAGGGAAGAAATTCATTCAAGTTTGTTTGCTGCGATATAATGCTTTAAAGCTAGGTCACTGCTGTGTTTATATCGTCCATAAACTGCAGTTAACATTGTTCCTGGAGCAAAGCAGACAGGGCCAAAGAGGGCTGTTTTAAGAGTGAGAGAGACCATAGTTTGGAGTCAGAGATGAGGTTACTGGGGCTTGGGGGTAAGCTCAGGCGGGATTTGGAAGGGCGGGGAAAACGTGGAGAGGTGACCATCGTAGGCTGAGTGACAGGGCACTAGAGGGATTTTGTGGGGACATAAGTGGTGTGTGAAGGAGGAAATGACACTCTGAGTGTCCCTTGTAGGGTACTGTGGACAGCATTGCCAACAAAACTGAGGATAAAGGCATTTCATCTAACGCACGTTTCCTCTCTCTGGTGCCCGCAGTGTGCCAGATCCTTCCGAAAGGGGTGGTAGGCGTCCTAGGACCTTCGTCAAGTCCGGCTTCGAGCTCTATCATCAGCAATATCTGTGGAGAGAAAGAGGTAAGTGGAGACGTCCAGCATCGGGGTAATTCAGCGCCATCGTGTCGATTGATGGTGGGCACCAAAGCCCTCGAGCCGAGGGGTGGGGAAGGAGCAGGGAGGTGGTAACACCGGGGCAGAGACTTGTCGCTCCCGGCAGGTCACGGCTGGCCTGGGGAGGCGGCGGAGTTGCCCGGGGGTGGCTAGGGTCACCCTGGGGCCCCCACCTCGTTCCCCACATCCCCAACCTTCCACATGTTTTCCTTCAAAAAGAGGACGCTCTCGAGCGGCCTCTGATGGCAGCAGTGCTTTCACGCTGCCTGCTGGGCATTGCCCGGATTCCCTAGGAACCCGGCATTTTGCTGATGATTTAGTAAGTACAGATTAGGTTTTTAATTTACCATTATACCAAACAGTAATGCCTTCTGTGCGGCTCCCACCAGGTTAGGCTTTCTGCAGCCGTAGGTCTCATCCTGAGACCATTGCTCCTATGCTGAGGTCCAGCTGTAGTCTCACAGCTCGCTGCAGTGACAGCTTCCAGCTCTGCCGTACGCTGCCTTCCTCTGCTCCGGGGTCTGCCTGTTGCGTTTCAAGTCTGCTGTTTTGCTTTTCTGTCATAATTTCTATATGCACACGCCGCCTCTTTCCATCCATGCTCCCCAAGCCCTCCTGAGCTGACCTCCGAGAGCCACGTGGTCCCCAGTGTATGCTGTCTTTGTGTCACAGCTGCAAGGCAGAGCACTGATGCCTTCATTACAGGCAGGGAAAGTGACCTGCCTGTGGTACTCCAGGACATCTTTGGCAAAAGTGGAGGACTGAACCCTGCTCGCTGTAGTCGTCTTTCCTGATGTATTGTCCTTCCCGTGATCCACTGTGGCTTGTAATGGTCATTTCAGAACTGACGGTTTGGTCCAAACTTCTGAAATTCCTTTAATGCCCGCGTTCTTGCAGCTTCTTCCCTTTCCTTCGCCTCTCTCGTTTCTGCCTCCCTTCTCCTGGTTTTCACCTGCGTCACCTTTCACTTCAGCTACCCTCGCACGCAGTGCCGATGCTGAACCATCTCCCCGTTGCCTGGCAGGGGCAGAATCCTCTGCTTGCCCTGGCAGATGCAAATCCCGGTCAGAGTTCCTGGCTGTGACGTGACCTTGGGTACGGTCCCTCTGGAAAGCTACACCTTCTTTCTTCCTGGTGCTGTTCCGGCAATGCAAACCCTCTTTATCTGTGTCCAGACTGTGCGCCTGGTTTAATATTTTATAAGCCTTGAACCATCTTACACTAATCTAGCTCTGGGAAAAAGAAATTGAGTTCTCTTCTCCTACTTCATCCCTTTAAAGCCAGATAACATCTCTCAGCCATTTAGTGGACTCTCTGAAGCCTCCAAGCAGGGGGAGTGTCTGGAACTGAGCGCTGTAAATAGCTTGCATTCACAAATGAGTGCTGTTCTTTGTTCCCCAAGAATCACAAGTGTTAAAGAGATGGAAGAGATCTTTTAGACCTAGTGCTTTTGGCTACAGCAGGAGGGGTCTCTTGAGTGTGTTTTGTAGTGCTTTCTCCAGTTAAGTGTCCCAGACGTGCTCCATCCCAGGGAAAGACAACTCAGCAGTAACAGATTGCAAGTGTGTCTCCCCTGAAATTCATATGCAGCCTGCGTCTCCGATTCCATCAGTCTCTTTATTTTTTCAGAAATAAAAGGTGAATTCTAGTGCACGTCTTAGGTATTTGATTCTTGAGCTTGAACTCATCTGCTACGCACTGCCAGGTGTAAACCTGCAGTAACTCCCTGTGATTTATGTCACGGTTGCATCAATTGGTGCTGTTGTATTAAATGTTATACAGCAACACAGTCAGAGACATTGTACTAACAGACATCCATCACTTCAAGAGCATCCACCTTTTTCGACTGAGGCACGAGAGGATGGAGTGACTGGCCCATGGTTCACAAGGAGCCTGTGATAAAACTGGGAAATGAGCTATATCTCCTGAGTTATCCCTCTCGCGCCTTGGGTCCAAAAATTGTCCTTCCTTCCTGTCCCGTAGGAGCGTTACTCTAGGGCAGAGCTCTTGGAAAGGGAGGAGGAATCCCAGCCCCTGTGTCGGATGGGTTGAACGTGAGCTTTGTGCCCCGAGTGGATTGCAGCAGCTCCAGACACAGGGGCTCTCTGCTACTGTCTGCGTACCTCTCTTCTCTGCTAGCGGTGGTGCTGCGAGCCTCAGTCTCCATCTGGCTTCGAGGCTGATCAGCAGGCTTGCACTGTAGCTGCCCTGTCTGCTTTAGTTGAAGGAATTTGCCTTTTGCTTACAGTCTGCTTCTCTTCCTGTTAACAGAGCTCTGGATGAGGACCGCAGAGTGAAATCAAGGCAGATAGCAGCTTATTGCTCTAACTTTCCTATTACTAACCAAACAGCTTATGCTGTCAATAAGCAGCCATCACAGCCTACTAACAGCTTTTCGCAAGGGGGGAGAGATCGGAGGCATGGGGTGATAGCTTCCGGAAGGACTGATAATGGAAGAGAAGAGGACTTGACACTCCTCTAACGAACAGAAGCAGATGCTTCCCTTTCTCTGTCTTCTGTTTCTTCCCAATAATTCACTCAGCAAAAGAAAACAATATTCTTTTTCCTTATTTGGCCAAACCCCCATCACGTTTGCTTGATCCCCTTGCCCACTGGTTCCCTGTATGCTGCGTGCCCAGGTGTGCGGCAGAGCTGTCTTGGAGGAAGCTCTCTGGCTGTCCCTCAGTAGGGCTTCTCCACTCCACCTGGTCTGTATTCCCTGGGAAATGACATCCCGCTTCTGCCTCCTGCTCTGATTTATTAACAGCAAACGCAGTATTATTAGGGCTCTCATTTATGGTCCCATTGGAGCTTGACTGCCTTATGCCACCTGTTACCTCTCTGCTGATCAAAAAAGCCCAAAGCTTCTGGCTGCTGCATCTGTTTCTCTCTCTCCTGAGCCTTACCGGCACAGGGTCATCTTGTTTTTCCCTTCATCTCTCCTAATTATCTGATGACGCATTGGTACCACTGGCAGAGGCAGATTTGCTGCACGTCGTCTGTCTAGCTGGGATCCCAATAACAGCAGCGATCCAGGGGTCTCCGACATGGGCTGTGTAGCTGCCTGCCTGCAAAGCATCCTCCGTGTTTACCGAGGCAGCAAGCCCAAAATCAAGTGTGGGCCTGGCTACAATTAGTACCCAAGCTAATTAGGTTGAACTCACCTGAAATGGTTTCCTGTGCTGTAATCACAGCCCCCGTTGCCTTTGTCTGAGTGGCTCAGCAAGACTCTTCCTGATCCACTTCTTCCCATGGCTTCTTGTTGCTGTTGTAATTATTTTCCTCTGCTATTGCATAAATCGCTCCCTCCTCTCTTCACTCTGGTGATTCTTCTGCAGTTTTATTGGGATGTTTCACTTTCTACCTGCTGAGCATTTCATGCCAAAGGTCCTTTATAGTACATTTACTTGTTTTTATTTCTTTTTCCTCTTTAATTATATTTTCTTTCCCCTCCTCCCCGCTTAGGTTCCTCACTTCAAAGTGGCGCCAGAGGAGTTCCTCAAGCTGCAGTTCCAGCGGTTCACCACGCTGAATCTCCACCCCAGCAACACCGACATAAGTGTAGCCGTGGCAGGAATCCTGAATTTCTTTAACTGCACCACTGCCTGCCTCATCTGTGCCAAAGCTGAATGTAAGTCAGATGGGATTTAGTGTCCCCTTGCTGCCCATTACCTTCTGTTTTGTCTCCCTCTGCATGCTTGGTGCCTCCTACCGTGGCAAAAGTCCTACCAGTCCCAGTGGCAGCAGTGAAACCCCCTGCCCCGAACAGGCAGTGTTGGGTAGCTGGAGGTGTACCACGTTGTTCGTTTCCCGTTTCCTGATAGCAGGGTCCCTTCTGTCGTGGGCAGGCTGCTGTTCAGGCAGAGCAGCCTGAAAGAGCGGAGACCTGCAGAGCAGGTTTTCCACCCTGTTGCCCCATGGAGGTGTTCCCGGTGTTAATGAGAGAGGTGGAAAGGGGATGGGGAGAGACTGCCTGCCTTCTGCTTGACAATCTGAAGAGTGTTTTGCTTGCACAGATGGGTTTTTAAATGAAGAAAAAAAGGCTTAAGCATGTTTCTGGAGGTTATTTTAGGCAAGTATCCCTTTTTTCGAAACGTGTCTTTCCCAAACCCGCGTGCAATTTGTGGCCTAAATGCAGGACTTGATTTATAGTCAATACACTGCACGCCCTCTTGGGCTCTGCAGCCATACATCTGCTGGTAATTGTGCATCTGGATGCTGGAGCGTTCACCTCAGCAAGACCATAGTCATCTCTGCATAACTCTTCTAAAATGGCAGGAGCAGGCTCTGCATCAGAGTGCTTGGAGAGAGGAAAGTGTGTCCGGTGGTTGGCTCTTTTTTTTTTTTTTCTTAATGTAGACTGGTGCGTTTACTACACCAGCTGTTTTGCTTTTATTATGCTGTAGTGAAATTCATTAGGACTAGAGTGGACCCTACAAAGAAGCCTAGAACAGGGGCTTTGAAAAAGGACGTGGATCCTGCATGAGCTCTGCGGGTGCTGGCAACAGCTTAGCAGCGCATGCCACCTCCAGCCTCTGACTGCAGGGTCAAATACGTAGGAAAGGCAATGTCCTTTCTACCCACATCACCAGCTGTGCTGGTAACACAGAGCATTGTGGTTAACTCCTGCACAAAGACAGGAGAAATAAGAGCGTCCTTTACTTTGCATTTTGCTTTATGCACCCTGGGGAGACCACATCCTCGCTTGATATAAATCAGGGAATTGACTTCAATAGGTATGCTCAGATGTACTCTAACAGAGGACCTGGCCCAAAATGATGCAGTCAAAATCATGCAAATGTTCCTACGTTACTTTCAGTGCTGGTGTGTTTCGTTGTGTAACCCTAACCTTAAAGAAGCAAAGGAGGATAGAGGGGAGGAAGATAGATAATTGAGTTTTCTCACCTGCAGTGCAGCACGCTCGCCGTTCTGCCCTCATGCTGCTGCCTGGCACAGAGCACGTACACGCATCATCTCATCTCCGTAGACCGTTGCCTCCTCCTCAGTTGCATGCTGAAACATGCAGGTGTCTTCCATTGAATGCAGCGTGATATTAATTTGGTTCTTCATTTAACTGAATCAAAAGCCCTTGGGAACCAAATTGCTTGCATTAAACTAACATCCTTTTGATAGAATCAGTCCACTTTGGTTTACTCTGATATTTCTGGATAGCTCGATGTCTAGGATGTGCTGTACAACCTGAGTTTTTCACAGACCGAGGAAACAGAGGGACAGGTGCCTTTCATGCCAGTGCATCCTGTTTCTTATCCTCAGTAAGGGCCTTATCTGAGCAAGGATTTGTAGCACAACATGCTTTCAGATTGTCATGGAGTGCAGGAAAGGCACAGTCCAGCTTCATGTGGGAGCGCAAGCCCTCATTTTCCCTTAGGACAGGCGGTGCTACTAAGCACAGTCCTTAAACACCTAAGTCAAGGCACTTGGGGCTTTTGGGAGATTTCCCGGAGGCAAATCAGGGGAGCGTGTGAACTGTCCTCCTCAGTGAGGAAATCCTGTTTTGAAGGATGTTGTTATTTAGATCCCAGGAGGGAAAGTCATAGCTCTCTTGGTTTAAGTACAAGGCTGTGTGATGGGACTCCTGGGTCCTATCCCGTAAGGCTGCTACTGTCACTGTGAGAAGTCGCATCCTTCCTCTGTGGACTGATTGTCTTTTCTTCTGGTAGAAGCAGAAAATGGGAGTTAGGTTGGCATAAATGTAACGCGGTGCTGAATAGAACAAGATCATGTGCCTCAGTTTCTCAGTGGGGTGGAATAATTAGCTAGTTTGTGAAGTGTTCTGAAGTCTTCAAATGAAACACTTTGTGCATTTGTATGAAAACCTGAACAAGAAAAGGGGCAACTACGGACAAGTATTGAGGATAGACATCATAAGAGCTCCTCTGTAAATGGCTGTCTTTTCCTGATTGTCAGAGGGGGGAAAATGAAGTCCAGTATTTAGGACTGGAGACCAAGGGACCGAGTCAAAAGGCTCGTGTGTTCCCTAATGCCACAGAGAGATGTTTGAAGCAATCCTGGTGGGTGTAAGAATGGGAATAGTTGATGGCAGTCGCTAATTCTGCTCCCAGACTCGCTGCTAATGAACAAGGTAATCGGGAACCTTAGGAAAGTGGCATCTCATCTTACGCTGGTTCCTTACGCTGCACCAAAATAGAAGGAACCATTGGGGTGAAGGACTTGGACCAGTGAAACCATATGCAACCATAAACAGAACCACTTGGTCCTTCAGGCCTCCACCAGCAATGTTCAGGGAGAAGGATCCCATCCCCTTTGCTCCAGTAGCCATGCAAGGAAGAGCAATGGCCGAGGATGACCACGAAGCAAGGTGAGGACGTGGGTCAGCTCTAACTACTCCCCTACCTCTGTGTGTACCTGTGGCCCCAGCAGACTTGTGACTGGCCCTGTGGGCTGGGGATACCCTTGCTCAGGCACCTCCTCCACATAGCCCCGGCACCCGGCAGCAGAGGCTGCAGCTGTACAGACGGGCTGTGCCTGATCCAGCCTCTTTGTGCACGAGGATCTTCACTTTAGTACTTCAAAGTTGCCAGGAGAGGTCTACAAGCCCTCGCTCGCGTTGGGCCTGTGAAGCAGCCTTCTGAAGTGTCAGTCTGTCAGCAGCAGTGTCTCACATGCTCTTGTCATCAGAACAAAAGGGAATCTCTTCACATAATAGAGTCTTCCCTCCGCACGACAAGAGGAGTTGCGAGCGAGAAGCCTGATGAGGCTGGAGGTAGGATCAAACGTGCTGGAAATGATAATTTCGCCGAGCTAGAGGAGAGGAGATCAAATGTTTCTTTTTTCTTCCCTGGCCACTCTTCCTCCTCACTGTGCCTCGTGCGGTTTAGAGACTTACCAGTTGGGCTCTGCCTTCTTTAATGCCGAGGCCATGGTGGCTCTCTTACCTGAAAAGGGGTGCAGGGTGAAGGAGAAGCCAGCAAAAGGGGTTGGAGAGGTAACCAGCAGAGAGAAAAATGGGAAGGGGGCACTAATCAAAGGAGCAGAAACTGAAGGGCTGTTGTGAATCGCAAATCCCTCGGCAGCTGGCCTAGGGAGCTCTTTCCAGTCTGCCTCATTAACACGCACTGAGGTAGGCAGCCTGTACAAATAAGGAGTAGGATCTAATTTTATTTTTGCGGGACTGAAATTAAATGGAAACGGTACCTTTCCAAAGGGAATAGCTGAAAATCCCCCCCTCCACACACGCAGACGTGCCGCCCACACCCCTTGAGTTTCGAATTTCTGTCCCCTTGGACAGCCAAGTTGTGGTGTAAGTCTGAGTTTCTCCTACCAACAAGGTGGCCTGCAGAATAGCACAGCTTTCACTTTTACTTGGTGTTGTCCAAAGCCGAGCAACACGGGGCCGTGATCTTTGGCAGTGCCTCCCTAACTACTGCAGTGCGAGCAGTCCCTAATGACAGCTCATGTTTCACCGTGATGTTTGCCTGAGAATGCTCTCCAAGGACAGAAGTATTTCATGTTCAGTGATGTTCTTGGGGACTTTAGTCCATGGCTTTTAGTGCCAGCTCTAATGATGCATTCTGGCATCAGTTAGTGGGACAGGTCTGTTAAGCCCTCATCACTGACTTGAAATCAGTTCAGGTTTGGTAATGAGTACTTGGGGAGCTGCATCTAGCTTTGCTCCCACCTTCCTAAATGCCCACTTCTTAAGAAGTACAGTGCAAAATACCGTGAAATTTAGACCACTGTGAAAAAGCTGGGTAAATTCCCAAATTTTTTTTTGTCTTAGACTTTTATTGAATAAAGTTAGTGAAGCGTTCTTAAAATCTGCAGTTTTGCAACAGCACAGTTTGCCAGGTTGAGCCCTAAGTAAGCTTGTTACTCAGAGTACTGCTATCCACAGCAACCTTTCTGATCGCATGTAGGCTGTGGAAGAAGGCGAAAATAAAACCCACAGAAATCAAATGGAGGGCTTAGGCAAAACTTAGAGTTCACTTGAGCTAGCACCAAAAAGGTATTAAAGTAGGGTCTAGGCCGTGTGTCCTCTGCAGAGAGTGAATTCACCCACCACTGAGAAAGATGAGAAGTCTGTGTGATCCAGAGAAGTCCTTGCTGTGCCGCTTTTATGGTCCCCTGCTGAGTTCCTACATGTAGGAAAGGGAAAAGGTAAGAGGCAATGCATTGTAGAGAGCTCAATGCAAACTTGGCTTGCTGAAAAACTCTTACTGTGAATAAGAGGCTCCTGTCTAGGATGTATCCCTTTTAATGCGTTGCTTTGTTACCTTTGTGAAGCGCTAGGAGTCTTTGAAAGCAGCACTCTAACTCTAATCTCCCTGCATTGTATCACTTCCCCATCCCCTGACCTTCTGGGTGAATGAACTGTTTAATACAATCAAAGCTATGTTTAGGCTAACAGTGGAGCTCTGGCTCGAAATGAAGTGGTGGTTTTTTTTTTTTTTTGGTCCCTCCACCAGCTGGGCCTTGATTCTTCTCAGTTCTGTTCTTTTGCTGTTCACTATTATGTTTTCCGTCACTTCGACTTTTCTCCTCCTTTTTGAACTGTCTTCCTCTAGGAACAAGGTGTATGTGACCACGTAGCTGTCTGTGTCTTGCCAGTGATTAAATCTGTGGGCCTGTTTGGTCAATCAAATTTGACAGAGGGGGTTATTTCCTACGTGAAAATAGGCAGCTGGATAGAAGAGATTCCCTCAGATATGTTTTTTTGGCTAAGCAAAGCTGCAGCAGGAGCTTTGATCTCTTATTAGACATCAAAGAAGCCATGCTGGAAGGAGCCCTTGCAATGGCCTACCTGCAGGAAGAAGCTTCAATCAGAAATGCCAAAGGCAATAAGGCGCAAGTCCAGAGAAGTCAGGTCTCATTCATGCAGATGCTCACTAATTATTAGTTTTTTTTTCTTTAGCTCCCTCCTCAGCCACATGCAGAGCCCGGTTCCACAGGCCACTCGGAGAGTCTTGAGCTGGCCAGAGCTTTGGCTGGTTGCAGCTGGCTGTGCCCTGCCCAAGGAAATTTTCAGTGGAAATACAGGAAAGGCGGAGAGATAAATGGCAGGGAAGAAAGAGGGATGAGTGATGTGATGTGGAGATAGAAAGTGGGTCTTCAGAGCTCTTGCCCAGTAATGGAGCCACTGGATTGCAAGCGCGTTCCTGCTTTGTTCCCTGATTTCTCTGTGAAGCACCAAACATACTTCTGTGATTTTTTTTTTTTTTTTGGTTTTGGTTTTCGGGGTTTTTTTAATGGGCTTAAGGGTTTACTCTAGGAATGCTCAGTCCATAATTAAGTCTGTACTGTGCTAGGACCATGCGCATGGTTGCATTGCTATTTTTATGTAGATCTGATTTTGTATTCTTACAATGATTTCTGCTTCATCTGACACACGGCAGAGCTTTTCATCCCCAGGGACACGCGTCCTGGGAAACGAGCAGCTGCCTGTCGGAGCGCTCCAGGATCTCCAGAGGCATCAGGCTGTGCCTCGCAGAAGCACTTAGGGAGTTAGTAATGCAAAGGCTTACAAGGAAGAATCGTCTTCCAGCAGCCAGTGATCGTTTTCCAGAAACCAGGAAAACTTCCCCATGTGCAGTAAGGTAACAGAGAACATGCCTGAACCGTGTGGTTCTGAGGGAATTTGTATCAGCAGTCTTATCTCTTCCCAAGAGGTCTTCAAGGCTACTTTTTTGGGTGTAGTTGGAGAAGCTCCATCTTTTCCCATCCCTTGCTGACCCCAGGAATGAGCCTGCACTGTGGCCACAAATCATTTGCTTTTCAGGACCGGTTCCTGCTGGGGTGATCATGGGTCACTGGAGAGATGCTTTTTGAGCCAAGCATCCAATTTAAAAAATGTCTGTTTTGTTTCTCCTTTTATTTTAAGGCCTTTTAAACCTAGAGAAGTTGCTTCGACAGTTCCTCATTTCCAAGGATACTCTCTCAGTCCGGATGCTAGATGACAGCCGGGACCCCACCCCCCTCCTAAAAGAGATCAGAGATGACAAAACAGCTACCATCATTGTGCATGCCAACGCCTCCATGTCTCATACCATTCTGCAGAAGGTAAGGGTCTATTAAGCATTGCTTTTGTAAGTGTTGCTGCTTCCACGGGATGAGATACCGCGTGCGTGTATGAGCACGCACGTGCAGGTGTTGTACGATACTAGAGTGTAAAAATTCCTGCTGCAACACTGGACATGATTTCTGCTGGGGGAGGAGTTGCCGCTGATGGAGCTTCTGGGGAAAATAATTTGTTCTCTCTTTCCGGGACTGTATCTGTAGAAGGAATGGTATAATTGCTCTGAACTGATATATTTGGTTTCTAAAAGCGTTACAGGCCTTTGGCTCCTGTTGCCATCAAACAGCAGTGACAGGCTGCTTAGCACTCTGAAATTAGTCAATCAGTGCAGTAGTTTTTTCTTTTTTTCTTTTTTTCCTCTGAAGTACATTTCTAACTTTTCGCTTCCCTTTTTATTGTCTTATTAACCGAGATTTTATTTTAATCATATTTATTTTTAAATGATCTCTTGTCACAGTTTATAGCATTTGTTTAGATAGCCCTTCAAAACTGAGCAGCAGCTCCAGATGGAGCCTAGAGTTGTATATAGTTTCCCACATCCTGGAAGGAACAAGAAGTTCTTTTCTGAATCAAGGCAGGATTGAGGAGATGGAGTCACCCCGTGGTAGGGGATGGCTGCTGTTGCCTGCATTATACACAGTGTCCTGGATGCCTTATCAAGGAGTCAGTCATTCAAAGGCCCTGACACATATCAAATTCAGCCCTGCTGACTGCCAGCAGAAACCATTACAGTGGTTCTTTTTTTTTTTTTTTCTTCCACTGCATGTAATTTTATATTTCTAAATGAGCAATTATTTCAAGGTAGAAATGGAAATTTTCTGTTTGAAAATGCCAGGATCAGTGAGGCATTCCATCACGTTGCAAGGGTGTTCTTTGGGGGCAGGGAGCGGATGCTGAAGGAAAGTTTTGCAAACCAGTGGTTTCTCGGGAAAACAAAACCCAAACCTTTTGCTCTGGGAGGAAAAAAGCGGTTCTGTGAAAGCTCCCAGCCAGCCCTCAGTATGAGAAAAAGACTATTGTATGGCAGATGCCAAGAAACGGTAGGCGAATTTCAGGCCTCAAGGCACGGCTCACCTTGGGACCGGGTGGTGGCGAGCGCCGGTGCAGCTCGCCGCTCGCGGCCCCTGCGGTGGTGCCGGAC